TACCTAAGAAAATGGACGTAATCAGATTATCTCTTCCTATACTACTAACAGTAATTACTATTGTTTTTGGAAGATTATCAAAATCTTATATTACTCGACAACTGTGTGGGCAAAAAATTGTCTTAGGCTTTATCAGGCCCAAGCATGAAACATCTATTATGTGGCCTATGGCCATGGCCCCATTCCGGTTGGGTCTACGTCAAGGTTTATGTCATGAGGGCCAAACGCATGACACCAACCTAGCCTTTCTAGATTGGGCCTCATCATTGGCCCACCTAGGGCTATGTCCTTTGGCCTATGATATCCTCTAAGGGTTTATAATCCCACTAAAACCCTAATACACCCGTTTCCTATTCAGGTTTTATCCTGATTCACTCAAGATCTTGTATCTTATGTGAATTAGGACTCTCAATCCTACAAAGGCAAGTAAATCAGTGTCTTTCCTATTTACTAGAAATCAACTATTATGGACTCAGAGTCTTACTAGGAGTCGAAGATCCTATGACCACTATATAAAGAGAGGTTCAGCCTCTGATGAAGCATCAATTATCTAATACCACCTACTAGCTCATAAGCTCTTGCTCCTAAGAACTATACACCTACGCCGTAGTTCTAATCTCCGACTAAACTTCCGGTAACCCTTCCTTCCCTTTGCTCTCACTAAATAGCATCTTTCAGTTTTGCTGACTTGAGTGTCGGAGTGTCTACGACAAACACCACATCGGTGTTTTACGTAAGCTTTGCGCTTGTTTTCTTTGTGTGCAGGTTCAGTGGATTGTCAGTGACTTCAACCTCGCATGATCAAACCTCGTTCCGTAACCATAGATTTTACTGTTTACGACAACCAAACGTGGTAATCGATTAATATAAAATGACATTACCTTAGTAACGGGAGATTACCGCCAACTGAACACACAATATATAAAAAAACCTGATAAATAATTAACGGCACCTTCAATGTCGATACTGTTTTTGTCCTTAGTTTATACATTTTTAGCAACTATAGAGCATTTTGATTAAGATCCACATAGTCCGCGCAAACCGATTTTCTTTCTTAAAATAGTTATATATATATTATGGTCCCGCCATGAAGAAAATGAATCCCAAAAGAACTCTAAAAATTTATTTAATTAATATTTGAAATCGATTTTTTTGATGAAAACGTGTTTCCTTTATTAAAAAAATATATATTGAAAATAAGGGCTCTTGTACATTAAGATTTCACTAAAGTAGTTTTAAATATTTCATTTTGTTTGTTTTGAATATTTATAATTAATTTTCCTTCTTATATAATTGATAACACTATGGAATCAATCATCACTTGTCAGTGAGTGCTTTTTGAGCTTCTTTTAACGTTTTCTCTCTCTTTCTCTCTTTCACTTGTTTTTTTTCTTTGTTACAATATTTCTTATGACTTATTCCTAGTAGGCCTACAAAAGAGTCGAGCTCCAGCTCGAGTAGCTCGTGTATCGAGTCAAGCTGAGTTTAGGCATAATAATACAAGATTTGAACAGCTCGCAAACTTACTCGAGGTCAATTATTATCATGGTTTTAAAACTAGAAACCGACCCCTTCTCTGGTCCGGAGGCAATCTAAACCTGATTTCAACCATTGGCCTGGATTGACCCACCATTGAACCGGTGGGAACAGTGTTGAACCACGGTTCAATTGTCAGGTCAGAGAACCGGTGGTTAAACTAGGTTACTGTAAAGTTTCATTTTCCAATTTCAATTTTCAAATGAAATCCCTAATTCACTCTTCACTCCGCGACAACCCAGTTTCGACTCCAAATCAAATGAGCTGTCATAGCCGCACTTCACTCTTCACTCCATGACATTGCCACACCTTCATCTCCTCTTCACAATGTCTTCCCTGGTTCGTGGTGGGTTTTGTTGTGGCAAATGGTGATGTTTGGTGGTAGATTAGGGTATGTCTACCAAGTTTCATATTAGGGTTTCATGCTAACGTCACGGTTCGACTCGCCAGTCAGGCCACCCAACTCGGGGACAGGCCTCTTGACCAAGTCAAAGCCCGATCCGGGTATAAAAACATTACATATTATATAATTTTTTAATTTTATATTAATATTATATATATATAAATTAAAATAATTAAAAATTGATAATTGAGCCAGGTGATTCGAGCTTGAGTTCGAACTCAATTTTCACTTGATTACAATCAGTCAAGCTCAATTTTTATTCAATTGTAATTGAGTTGAGTTTGAGCTGATCATGTATCTATCCAGCTCGAGCTTGACAATTGAATCGTGGTTGAGCTCGAGTTTGAGCTTCAACTATTCCAACGGAGCTGAGCTTGAGCTTCTTAATACTTAGCTCGGCTTGATTATAGCCTTAATTCCTAGTACAGGGAATGATGAATAATTTTTTTTTTTTTTTTTTTCAGTGTTTTGTCTTTCTTTATAATTGAGCTAAGCACACTTTGTAGTCTTCCAAAAAGCTTCACACATATTAATCATGCATAAAAGTGGACTGGAACTGGAGTAGATGCCTAGTGCTTAAATCTCTTGTATTAAAATTTTCCTTGTCTGGTACAAGACAAGAGAAAATCTTTGTGGATAGAATAATCGGAATGATAATATCCGCAAAGAGTTTTTGTCTTTAGAAAGAATAAAGATGACAGTGGAACAAATATATGCAGTAATTGAGACTGAAATTATTAGAGTAAAAGCAGCTAGTAGAAGATGAATGTTAAATTAATAAAGCTAAAAGTTTGCCTTTTTCTTTGCAATTGTTATGATCTAGACCCAAAATTATGCAGATGTTGTTACATAAAACTTGGATCATTCTGATTTAACGGGGGTTTCGAGTTTGAAACCTTAAATTTATACTTTGTTAATTATTTATTTTACCAAAAATTTTAGCTACTTAAGTTTGATAACAATGTTTATCTCATTTAATGAAGAAATATTTTAAAACACAAACTTCGCATTCGAAATGCTAATTTTTCTTCTTTTGATTACAACTTCGGAAACTACTATGGAGATCCCTCTTGTTACTTTAAGGTGTTAAATTTGATAGAAACAAGGGTAAAATGAGTATTTCATAATCAAGTAGAAGATAAGATATGTATTCTTGGTATATCCATACATTTGATCTAATTCAACCAAGTTTCTTACCAAATTTTATATCTTTACTTGTTTATACAAACTGCAAAGAATAAAATGAGAAAAAATACCATTTCTTTTCACTTTTATTTTTATAAATAAGTAGTATTGAATAGTCCTTTTTAAATTTATTATCAAAATTTAATTAAAATTAATTAGTTTTTGTTTCAATATTTCTTACTAAAAGTATTAGAAAGTAATCATGCTAAAATATTAAACATTATGAATAAAAGTTAAGCTTCCAAGCCGCATTTGATATATTAGATTATTAATAAGCCGGACATATATAACTAACTCACCAAGCATAATTCCCACAATGTACATGTTTTATTTAAATTATAAATCTAGCCATAAAATCTAATAATTTACTAATTATACCTTTAATAAAACTAAAAATGATATATTCCTAAAGAATAATGTTAGACTATTGAATCTTGTATATTCTAACATTTAACTGTGTAGTTTAATAGTCTAATTAAAGCATACTAGATGGTGTTAGATTTTGTAGTCTAGCACATATCGGTTATTTTTGTCTTTGTTATTTTTCATTAAGGGTAATTAGATTAAATCATAACGGTAGTTTTATCATATAATGTATAATAAAATGAATGAATAAAATCGTTACACTTATTGAGCTCCTCGTGCTAATACCGTGTTATAATCTTAATAGTGTAATTAAATAAAATAAACTAACAAGCATTGAAAATAAAAGTACAGATTAAAGAGGGTTGGAATGAGAAGCTTTTATTAACTCTTTTTCTTAATTGAATTGTGTATAAAATAAAGGAAATGAACTCAATTTATAGTCTTTTCACTGACCCACGTCCCATAGAGACCAATTATATAGTAACAAATCATGACCCACGCCCCATAGAGACCAATTATATAGTAACAAATCATAATCCATGTGTCTTCAAGTGGATTTGCGTGGGTCATTTGCCAAATTGGTGGAAATCCCGCACTTATAACATTTGACTATCAATTTAGGTAGACAATAAAGATAATATAGATGGTGGCTGGCTCACTCCAACCGTAGCTCGATTGAGATTTTGGAAAAAGTAATTACATTTAAATATTTCAAAAAAATTCTTTATATTTAAATTTATTGTTAATATATTATATGTTATTTAATAAAAAAAATTTAAAAATATTGTTAATCCAAGTTAATAATTTAATATGTTAACTTCACAAGCACATTCTATCAAGAGAAAAAGATGTTTTTTTTTTTTCAAAATTCATAGAAAAAGATAAAAGGAATTATTGTTAGAATTCATACTTATACACCATCTTTCCTTCTATTTATACTACTCTCTTTGTTTCCATTTCAACAAAATTAAATTAAGTTTAATTTATCATGCAGGCAATTTTTTTTTTTTCTTTTTGTCTTCCCTTTCAAAATAAAAAATATATACATTATAAGTGATAAAATAAGTATCTTTTTTTATTCATAAAATTATTGGCATTAAACTTCTTTTTTTTTTTTTTTTTATGTATATTTGTAAATTTTGTTAGTCCTCCTGTGAAAAAAGAAAAATTCTTGATTTCGTCCTTAAAACAAAGGTTACGATGTTCACAACAAGTTATGAACCATTAATTAGTCGAATGATGAAACAAATTATGGTACTTTAAACATGCACAAACCTAAAACGAAAGTTCTTATATATATATATATTATAATTTTGGAAGATGATAATTTATAGTTTTACAGATTCTTAGGGCTTCATTATTAGATCTCTGTAATTAAAGCAGGAACGAACAGAGAAGAAAGAATTGGTGTGCTTGCCTTTTCACACAATCAAGGGTATTTATACAATAGTATACCAGATAACAAATAAATGTTCAATCCAAAAATTCAAAATACAAATTTAAACTAAATTCAAAATACGAATTTACACTAAATGAAGTTACAAATTCAAAGATAACAGATGAGAGGTTTTGACCATTTCTTACTGACTACTTCTTTATTACTACTTAACAGATTTTCCAAACATACACAGATCTGGATTTACAATACTAAAGCCTCCATCAATAACCAAATCATGCCCACTCACATACTTTGACTCATCACTCCCCAAATAGAGAGCCGCTTCAGCCACATCCTCTGGTTTAAGAATAGCCCCATTAAGGTAGGGATATAAAATACGCATTCCCTCATCGTCCGTCTTGAGGAATTCCTTTGCCATTGCTGTTGAAACTGCATAAGGTGACACACAATTTACCCGAATTCCGTGCTGTCCAAGCTCTACAGCAGTATTTCTCATCAGCCCTACCACGCCGTGCTTCGAACTTGTATAAGAGTGTGGTGAAACTCCTCCAATCTTTCCACAAACACTTGCAGTTGTTATTATGCTGCCTTGGCGCGCAGGGATCATTACTCGAGCTGCATGTTTGGTGCCTAGAAAGGCTCCTACTAGGTTAATATTGAGGACTTTCACGAATTCGGATTTCGTGTTGTCGAGTATGTTTGGTTTCGGTAAACCATTTATACCAGCATTATTGAACATGATATCCAACCTTCCATACTTGGAAACTGCTGTATTAACAGCATATTCAACGTCCTCTTCTTTGGTTACATCACAATGGACAAAGGAGGCTGTTGCTCCATCAGAGTCAATGTCTTTGCATACAGATTGACCCAAGTCATCCAGGATATCTGCAATTACAACTTTAGCACCATGTCTAGAGAACAATCTTGCAGTGCATTCTCCAATGCCTCTGGATCCTCCGGTGATTAATGCTACTTTGCCTTCCAGCCTGCAAGAGTATATAATCGATTGAAAACTAAGAAAAGGCAGAGAAAATTGATGATTATAATATTGTTTCTGGAAAAGAGTGTAAATTTTGAAGTCTCATTACAAATAGTTATGTCCATTCAATAGACAACGTTGTAATTTTTCATATAAATTCATATAACATATATCAATTTTGGTATATTTAGTAGCATATTTTTACACTAACCTTCTTGCAGCTGCTGAGATTACTGATGAGGCCTTTTCCATTATCGCCGGGCTAGCGAAGCTGTATTCGAATTTAGAACTGAACGAAAAATACCTTAACCAAGAACTTTTACTGCGTACTCAACAATAATATTCATCAACTTCTTGTATAATTTTTTCTTCCTGGTCACAACAGTAATTAATTTTAAGAAATAAAGATATCAGAAGGGTAACAAGTAACCAGATGATTATGTCGACCATCAATAGGACCAGCTCCATTATTATAACCTTTCTATCAATCTTTATTACCACGAAAAAATAAAAGTACTGTGCCAAATCTTCATAGTGGAAAGGAAATCTTATCGGCTCTGTGTTACTCAATGTTCTCATGGCACGCAGTTATAAAGAAATGTTTTCGACAATAAAAACATGGCCAATTTAATAAGCATGAAAACGATTACTGTTGGTCATTAAAACCACACCTGTGCTTTTCTCCAGTCTACGATGTTTATCTTTTCATCTAAACCTGTACTCGCAATTCTAAACCTGAACAATTTTCAAATGATTCACTATAGTTTAATTCTTACTTTTTTTTTTTTAATTCCATAAATCCCGCACTTGCTTTGCAAGTAACTCTTACTAATTTTCTAAATAAAGTTCTTTTGTAATTCACCAGTTCTTTAAATAAAATCACTTGCTCGATTTAAACAAATGTAGATAAATAGGAGTTCATACATGTTGATGCTTGATTTTAACACCAACTATTCACACGTGTGAAGTACTAAGCGGACTCAAAAATCACACGTAATATGGAAGCATGAAAAAAAGATATTGAACAGGTAACAATTTTTAAAGTGGTTCGGATGCTCTAAGGCGAATCTCACGTCCATTGTAATTATATTAATGGGTGATTATAATCAGGTTGCACTTAGCGAGTTGGATTACAATAGAGAAAATAAGTGTAGAGAGAGAGAGAGAGAGAGAGTATATGTTCTGAGCGGTGGATGAACCAATCCCATAAAATAGAGGAGAGCCCTATATTTATAGTCGGAGGATTCAAGTTGGTAATCATGATTCTGCGTGCGGGCAGGTGTGGTACAATTCCTAACCTGCTTCCTATTGGTTGTCTGCACGAGAGATATCCTTAAATCGTGTGGGGCTTCAGCAGGTGGACAATTCATAGCCACTCATACGCCTGACGTTCACCTGCCTCACTGACGATGGCCTTACCCCTCTCGTCCTTACGGGACGTGGTTGCATCCAGACGGTAGAAAACCTTCCTGAATTCTGATTGGTCTTTGCTAATTTAAGCTCACGTCAGCCCTGGTTTTTTGGGCATAACAGAAGCCCCCTAGTTTTTAAGGTTTAAGGATTGAACCTGGAGAACTTCATGATTATGCCGCAACTTAGCTTGTCCCGGATGACACTTGATAGAGCTGTATGGATCCTTGAGAACCACACTAGCGACCTGATGTGGTTTTTTCTGATAGGTTCAGTGACCTGATTTAGATCCCTATCAGTGCCATACCAACATGTCCCGAGTCTCGACCATAACTCGTGACGTCAAAAGACTAAACACATCTTTTACCAAAGGCAAGGAATCACGTCGCTTTGAAGTCGATGCGTGACAAAGAGTGTTTATTCGAATGACCTCTCCAGATGTTATCCGTTGCGCTCAACGATTCACCTAACCAATAAAATAACCTTTATTCTGACAGGCTTGTCCATTACGCAATAATTGCCAGCCATGCACATATAATGCGAGCCATGCTGAAACGACATTCTCTTTCAGGGCATTAAATGTAGATGGAGGCATATTTAATGTGGAGGAGGGTAACCGTGTCGTCGTTTGGTTGCTCCAATGGAGGGAAACATCGATTGGTACTTACGAAGCGTGGGGGTTACTCTTCTCACAAATTAACGACATGTGGTCGTAGTCAATGGCAAGAAACGTATCCCGCCTAAGCGTCGCTTGCTCAGAAAACCAATCGTCGTTTTCCCCCTATAAAACCCCGGATCTGCTTTAGACTTTTGCCACAAAACTCACATTCTTATAAAGAAAAATGAAGCTCTCGCAAAGTCAGTCTGTCTTTTTCCGTTGATGCGCACCATCCGCTATGACAGAAAGCTCATCCCCTACCGCCAAGAGGTAAGAAGGGTTTCTCCCTCGCATTCTTTTATTATTCGGCAATTTGCTCGACTTTTGCAGTAATGGTGGGTATGGACTGTCCGGTAAGCTCTTGCAGTGCGTATTCTCGGACAGTGGTGAGGAGAGAGGTTCAGTTTTTCTTAAAGATGAGAACTTAGGGCACGAATCCTTGGGTGTTCACCCCTAAAGGTTCTTTAGGGTTTTTTTAGGGTTTTAGGAAGATGCATTAAGGTTTCCTTTGCTCTTCTACGTCATCGTACGGAACATTGTATGAAGACTAAGCTTTTCTCTTTCTTTTATTTTATTTTATTTTTTTTTCTTGTGTCGCCCCTTTTTCAGACCTTAGGAGCAATGGACGCCTCAGCAAGCAGGGCAGCCGAGGGCATGAACTCGCAGGTGCCAGCCACTCCAGCGGGTCTAGTGCTAGAGACCTTGTCAATGATCACCCGAGAGGAGATACAAAAGGCAGTGGACTAGTACGCGCTCAGTGTGAATGTCTACAGAGGGAAAGGCCGCGATCTCAGGGACGATCTTTAAATATGGGGCACTAATACCTTTTCATCCCTTCGTTAGGTCTATCCTTAACCACTTCAAGGTCGCACCAATGCAATTAGTGCCTAATGCGTATATGATAGCTATTGCTATGTATATTGCATGTGGCGAAAACGGCCTTGGCGAGTTTACAGTGCTGCAGCTTGCATGCTCTTACTATCTGAAGAAGAGCAAGTATAAAGATTCTTTCTATCTCTCGAAGTGATTTACGATTGATGGAGGAATATTTGGTTACCCCAGTAACGTCGGGGCTTATGAAACCAAATTTTTCTTTTTAGAATATGATGGCGTCTGCCAGTTTATGGAGCCAAGTAGGTTTTTCCTTTCCATTTGCGAACTGTTCCTCCTTCGGTTTTTGTATCTAACGAACCCTTTTGTCTTTTTGCAAGAAATAAGACCACCAGGTTGGCGACTTTGACGGATTATAACCGAATCGTTTGTTTGGTCATCTTCCAGACCATTGTCGTGATGCAAGATTGCTAGTGACTACTTCTAACTTGAGAAAGTACGACTTTTTTAATCCGGAAGCATCCTTGGAGTCAGACCGTGAGTATCCCCATACTTAGAACGCTTTTCGATTGCCTGCGACAACCTGCTTCACTAACATACTTCTATGGTGCACAAGGATCATGCCGCCCAAGGTTTTGAGGCCGTCTACAAGGACTAGGGAGTTCGTATTTCCCCGGGTTGCTCTGACTGAGCGAGTCGAGGTAGTCCCTAGTGCTACCCCCACAAGAGGGATACAAATTGGCATCGAAAGGTGAACACCCTCAGAGCGATATGAGGAAACTCCTCAATCTGCGGCTACTCGCACCCCCAAGCAGAAAACCATGGGCAAAAGACTAAGAAAAGAAAACAGCTATAGGCTAAAGAATCGGAGTCCGAGTCAGAGGGTGTAAAGGTGCAGTTTGGGACTTCGCAACCTTACCAGGCTTTTCGCCTGAGGCGTGCACCAGACGTTTCAGCGATCCCCGAGAGCTCGGGCAGAAGAGAGGGGGAGACTATGGTTACCCGCAAGAGAGTGGGCAAACAGCGGGTCGATGAGGTGTCAGTTCCTGCAAGGGCAAACATGTCAGTGTTGGATTCCATGGGGCAACTCCTAGAGCACTTGCAGCCGGTGGTATATACCTTGTTGAAGTGCCAACTGGCTTTGGCCTTTGAGGAGTTCGTGGCTTCTCGGCCCACGGACTTGATGATCACTATTCTTCAGTTTCAAAGCCAGGTAGGGTAGCTCGTCTTCATCGAGGACTTCAACCTTAGCTGATTTTTTGGCTTTAATAATTTTTGAAAAAATGGGGGTTAACTCTTGCTTCTTTTCTTATACAAACCCTGCTCGCCTTGCACATGGCCAAACAGAAGGTCAATCTAGACTATGCTAGAGGGATTCATGACCTGAAAGAGGAGAATGCCAAACTGAAGAAGGACCTTGAAGCTCGGGATGTGGAGGTGAAATTGTTCAACATCCAAGCGAATTAATATCTGGTGGAGAAAAACTCTGCCCTCCACACAGTGGATTTCCAGAAGACTGAGCTAAAAAAGGAGAGGCGATGAGAACAAAGAGCTCTAAAAGACAGTAGCCAGACTCACCAAAGAGAATGGTTAAAAAGAGAAGGAGCTGATGGCGAACTCGGAACGTCTCACGAAGGTGGAGGAAGAGAGAACTTAGTTGTGGGAGAACTTCGAGAAGCAGAGGAGAGCACTGGAAATGGACCTCAAGCTTTCTCGAGGACGGGTCACTTCATTGACTAATCAGATGAAGCGGTAGAGCCTTGAACTCGAAAAGAAGGCCTTTGATTGGGATATTCAGGCTATTTACAGCTCGCGACCAAGAAACCCGGGAATGGATCTCTCCGACCTCCCGCCTGAATATAAAGACATCATTGCTTCCATGGCCCAAGCTGATGACGAGGCTGGGGAGGAGGAGGAACAAGAGCCTCCTCCGGAGGATGATCAGCGGGAGGAATACGTTCTTGAGGATCCAACAATTGATCTAGTCAGTGACCAACTGAGGGACGAAGAGGTTGCACCTGCAGAGCCTGGGGGTGGAGGCTAGTGATCACTTTTTCTGCTTTTTCTTTTGACTCTTTCTTTTTGGCTGCTCATTGTACTTTTGTAAATTACATATATGAAAGGAGTATTTTTAGACATTTACAATTTTGAATACTTTACAAAACTAATATCACATCTCATCAAGAAACTTGTAAAAATATTACAACGAACAAGATCATGTAAGACATTTATTTAAGGTGGAGAAGAACGATCTTGTTCATAAAGGTTATAAGGAAAACTTTACAAGTAAAAGAGATGGTAAACTGAGAGCGAGCCCGGAATTACTGATAATAGGGGCAAAGATGTTCAGCATTTCAAGCTCGTGGTACTTCGGAACCGTTAAGCCTCTTGAGGTGATACGTTCTTGGTTGTATCACTTTGGCGA